AACTGGTGTTACTGGGAGTTGTGAGTCGCCATGTGTTTAAGAGCACTTACTTCTTCTTACATATATATGTGTGTGTATGTGTTTGTGTGTATGATAGATAAATTAAAATTTTTAAAGGCATTTATACCTTGAGTTCAAGGCCAGCATGGCCTACCAAGTGAGTCCAGGACAGCCAAAGCCTTACATAGAAACTGTATTGATTAACAAAAGAAAGAAAGAAAAGGAAAGAGAGAGAGAGAAAGCATTTGTTGTGAACATTTCTGGAGTAGTCTGGAAACATAATAAATTTTTGTAGTAAAATGCAGTTTGTAATACGTACTGTATTTAGCTCTAATGGTTCATAGCTCTGTGTATGGAAAGTGGAGGGTGTAAAAAGTCAGGTATCTCTGATTTAGGTTGGACTGACTCAATCCATACCCTAGACTTCAAAAATTTCATCTCATTGAATCGCCTCATCATATAGGGAAACAGAGAAACACTCATTTCTTTTGTAAAGATGACTATTGGCAAAAACAAAACAAAAAACCTTTTTATAACAAACATTTCTTATTTTGGCAGATTATACCTATTCCAAGGCAAGGTAATATTGAGTAATAGTATTCTATTTAAAATTTTGTTTCCAGGGTAATCTTCCTCCAGGATACAAGATCACTCTAATTGATATAGGACTTGTGATTGAATATCTCATGGGAGGAACTTACAGATGCACTTATACACGAAAACGTTTTCGATTAATATATAACAGTCTTGGTGGAAATAACCGGGTATGTATAATTTTGATGGTTAAATGTTAAAAATTAGTTATAATTCCAGCATTTGAGAGGCAGGAGGTGCAGGAGAAATGGCTGTGAGTTTAGTGAGTTGTTACTTGGTGAGGTTAGCCAGAACTGCTGGTAAAAACCCTGTATCAAAACAAAACAAAATTAAGGGATGGAAGTAGTTCCAATGTCGAATGATTCCCTAGTTTCTGTTAGTCAGTCTTTAAGTTAGATGCCCAACTAAATAAAAATGAAAGAGTGTTAGTTGCATTAGAATAGTGATAGTTCTTGTGCCGTGGTGGCACACTTGGGAGGCAGAAGTAGATGGATCTTTGAGTTTGAGGCCAGCCTGCTCTTCAGAGTGAGAGCCGGGACAGCCAAGGCTATACAGAGAAACTTTTTGTCTCAAAAAAGCAAAACAAAAAAAGAATAGTGACAATGATATTGTCTTTAAATGTGAGGTTTTCAGGTGGGTGTGGGGGCGGTGAGCACCATTAATCCCAGTGTTCAGGAAGTAGAGGCAGAATAGGAGGATCTCTGAGTTCTAGGCCAGCCAGGGATGCATAAACTGTCCCAAAACAAAACCCGAGATTTAAACTAAATGTAATTAAAAATATTTTATAAGTTGACTCGCATTTTGTATATACTATAGTCCCATTCTTTGGGTGGCTGCTTCGCTTGGGAATGCTAGCTTAATTACAACCAGTCTTGGCAATGTAGAGAGAGCTCCACCACAGAAAGAGAAAGACTGCAGTCAGAGACTTGATGAGTGAAGTCATCAGAATAGACGTGTCCTTGGCTTCAGTGGTAGAAGCAAGTTCAAGGCCAGTTTGGGCTATACAGTGAAATGATACTTCAAAAGAAAATGGAAAAGAAAAAAAAAAAAAAGATACTCAAAATCCTAAGCCAACTGATTTTATACATAGACAAACATTGTAAATTATCCTGGAATTTTTTATGACATGTCAGCATATTTAAATTTTTTAAAAATTAATAAGCTCTCATTTTCAGAGGTCAGGTCGAAATACCTCGAGCAGTACTCCTCAGTTGCGAAAGAGTCATGAAACTTTTGGCAATAGAGCTGATAAAAAGGAAAAAATGAGACACAATCATTTCATTAAAACAGCCCAACCCTACAGACCAAAGGTATGTTTGTTTATTATTCTGCTTATTAAAAATGGAAATATTATTCTTTCTAAATTTTTATTTTGTTTTTCACTAGTTAGTATTATTAAGTAAAAACTCTGATTTAGTGAGAATTATCTTCTGGTTCTTTATTTGGGGGTGGGGAGGATTGTGAGGCAGGGTTTCTCTGTATAGCCCTGGCTGTCTAGGAACTTGCTCTGTAAAACAGGCAAGCCTCGAACTCAACAGAGATCTGCCTGCCTCTGCCTCCCAATGGCATTTGCCATCCTGCCTGGCTTGAGAATTAGCTTTTGGCTTGGCATTTTAAAATATTTTCCATAAACAAGGTAATAATGAGATTTAGACAATTTGACATTTTTACAGTTTTATTCTGTATATACAACAAAAATATTATCTAAACTTTAATTAAATTTGTATTTTATCAGATATTAGTTCAAATACTGTGACTGTGCCTCAGCCTTATTATTGAAAAGGCATTTTTATAAAATGAATTATAAATTACAATTAAAAAGTAGATGAAATTTGCATTATTCTATTAGAGGCATTATGAAGTTTAAAAAGGATATTTTATTTAAAAGTTTCATTAAGGTGATTTTTATAAGACCTTGTTTATTGCTGATAATCCTGGTTTAGGATGCTGGAGGTCAGATACACGCCTCTCTGCATAGTGGGCAGGTGATGTCCTGCAGTTGTGTCTCCAGCCCTCAGGTGGCCTTACTGTGAGTCTTACAGTATTTGTTTCCCTTGAAGATGGATGCAGCTATGGAAGAAGGAAAGAAGAAAAGAACCAAAGATGAAATTGTAGATATAGATGATCCAGAAACCAAACGTTTTCCTTATCCTCTTAATGAATTATTAATTTGGGCCTGCCTTATGAAGAGACAGGTCATGGCCCGCTTTCTATGGCAGCATGGTGAAGAATCAATGGCTAAAGCATTAGTTGCCTGTAAGATCTATCGTTCAATGGCTTATGAAGCAAAGCAGAGTGACCTGGTAGATGATACTTCAGAGGAACTGAAACAGTATTCCAAGTGAGTAACATTTTAACATATGAAACAGTGTTTGCTTGCATGTTATGGTACAGTGTCCTTAACAGGGTTTTGTGTAGGGATTGAGGGGGTTGGATACAGTTTATTGGTATAACTAAGAGAGAAATATTTTTTAGGTGCATTAGGTAACTTTAAAATTTGAAAAGAAATTGTTTTGCTGTTTGATATAGTAAACATTTCAGGAAGCAAAAAAGAAATGGGAGAAGTTAAATGAGTATACATAGTTGCGATTATGTTAAGAATTTTGTTTGGAATATAAAAGGGAATGTTTTGAGGTGGGTTTTAAAGAA